AGTAGATATCAAAGTTTTTCATTTTCCAAATATTCAGGGGTCTAGCATCATTTGTTTAAAATTTCTCTTTATCACACAATGACCTCAGTGTGCGACAAAAGTAAATTTACCATTTGCATCTGCACACTCTATTTGGTTCCATTAATTTCCATGTACCTTCTTGTATCAATCCACATTTTTGTATTCACTTTAGTTTTATAACAAGTCAAAATCTGCTAATAGAAATGATCTAATTTTGACCTTCTTTTCTTTTTGCTAATCTGTATTGATGAAAGCAGTTTTACGTATATGAAAAACAAAAGTTTAAAACTACTGGTGTATTTCCTTAAATAAACCAAATATAAGAGGAAAAAGTCTACAATCATCAGCTCTTAGACAAGTTGTAGTAAAACTAAAATTTTCAATATATAAAGAAAAAATCCTAAAGGCCAGTAGAAGTTCACTAGTCTTTTCCCTTGCATGTTTGCGTAGTGAACTTTCTGAGGACTGTTTACCTGTTATCCCGAGAAGATACCCTGTGGGACCTCTGTTAGCTGTGTAACAGATCACTGGGCGAGACCTCGACTTCGTCTCCCACGCATCTCCACCATAACAACTATACTTCTGGCCTTGAAAAATGAGCATAAGCCTTCAGGGTAAAAACTGCTAAACACTGATTTCTGTTCATTTATTTCTCTCGTTTCTCAATTTTAGTCCATTCTTAGACTGGATTCCCAATTTCTTTTGAGTTATACGCTCTCAATATTCTGTATGGGTTGGAGCTTTCATCTTGATGCTTACCAAGATGTTTCCGAAGACTTTTACCCAATATCTGTGTTTGTTTCAGTGGCAGCTCAATAAAGCCACCCAGTCCACTGCACGCAGAAGTGGACTGAGCTGCTGCTGTCTCTGCATGGTCCCAGCCTTGGGTGCCCCTTGGCATGGAAACCCCTGCATTACCTTCAATCTTAGGTTTATATCTTCAAGTCATTTAATGATCCTAAAATTACATTAAATACAGTTAGTAATTTTTACACAGATTTTGTCCTAGTATATTTGAGACTTCACATTGTTGACTAAAGTTTGTTCTCTGATAATTTCTTCAAAAGAGTTCTTTAAAACAGGATTTATTAGATTTATTTTTGCATATTTAAAACTTTTACCCTTTTAATTTACCAGTTTTACTGGATGTAAAATCTTAATGTTACACTTGTCTGAAGAGTTTTTACTTTTGCTCCACTTTGTGTTTGCTTAATGAAAGTTAATGAGATTTTTAAGCAAGACATTTAAGCCAACTGGCCTGCTTCCAGGGGAGCTGGGAGGGTGAAACTGTGTGACCCTCATTAAAGGAAAACTTCAAATCTCTGGAGGGAGAAAGATAGCCAGTGATGTTTGTCTTTTTTTTTTATATGAACATACATTTCAAAATTTTAATGAATTAAAATATCATTATTTTAGAAATTATAGGGCATGGTAGTGCACGTCTGTAATCCCAGCATTCAGGAGGCTGAGACAGGAGGATCATTGCAAGTTCAAGACCAGTCTGGGCTACAAAATGAGCTCAAGACCAGCCTGAACTGCATAGTGAGACCCTGTCACAAAAAGACAAAAATAGAAACTACAACACAGGAAAATTATAATTTTGTTGAGACAATAAAGCAGTTTTTCTTTTTATAAGAAGTAACAGTAAAATTCATTATATTAATATTTAGGCTAGCAGAAAGCCATGAGATAGAAAAATCTTGGGTTCTAAATTTTCCCACAAGTTAATATAATTGAAAAATACAAATGCAATTTTGAGCCAACAATATTATTTCTTAATTTAGATATTTTTAATTTTAAACTTTTTAAAAAGTTTCAAGAGTTTTGGAAGAATAAGTAGTGGAAACTGAAAAGAACAAAGGAGGATTAAAAGACCTTTAAAATTAACTAATTGGAAATAAGAAATTTATGTGAGTAAAGGAGTCTCCACAAGTTTTCTATCTCTCTGATGAAGGTATTAGAATATTTCATAGAGAACACTGTATGATAAGTTAGCATATGTGGTTGTTTTAATACCTATTTTACATGGAGCCCTTCCAGGTCCTCATCTTGGTCTGGGGAGATTATACTTGTAATTCCAAAGCAAAGTTATTGGAATTTTAGCAAGTTAACTCCAATCTACCACTTCCAGTGCAACCTAGGGCAAGAATAAAGACACTAAGGCCTATTTATAGTTGTAGGGAGCCAACAGGCTTTTAAGTTCAGCTAGGGTGATTGCTAACCAGAACACAGGCCTTGACCCAGGGATAAATCCAGGTTTTATTAATTCATGAAGAAGGGAGTGGTTTGAGGATGAGTGACTGTGAGAGTGGCAGGAAGTACATGAGTGCTCTGAGCTGGGCTAGGTAGGAGGCCTAAAATCACCTCTGCAATATGCAAAAAGAACTAATGCAGAAGGAGAAATCCATATAACACAACTGAGGTAGTATGTAATGTTTTGGGTTGGTGCTTCAGCTCTAGTGTGTAACATTTTATGCCCTGGGAAGTCATAGCCTCTTATATCAAGACTCAATCCCAGCTGACAGAATGGAGGATGGCTTTCCATCATGCTTGGCTCACACATGTTTTTTTGAAAGCTACAGGGATGGGGTAACATTGACCTGTCACCTTGCTTCAAACACCACACATAAGTACCTTGGCTGGACCCATTTATATTGCTTGCAGCCAATTGAAGGGAGCAGGAAAAGTCCTAGCAAGCTCTGTGAATATCAGTGCATGGAAATAGTTCCAGATCTAACCAAAATGGAGATAACTGCCTTTCTTTCAAGGAGAATCATCCAGGTGTCCTCCACACTAGTTCTCTTACAGTAGTTTTCCTCATCCTGCTTATCACCTAACAAGAGTTTCACAGCCTTGGTGCTACTGGTGTTTGGGATCAGGTATTTGGGATAAAGTGTTTGTCCTGCACCTTGTAGGGTGTTTAGCTGTGTTTATCAGTACAAAAGGCTAATAGTAGTCCCACCAAACTTTGCCTTTTCCAGACTTTGCCTTGGTGAGAATTGTAAAGTTACCCTATTTTCATTGCACTCAAACCTTCTATGAACTACAGCTTAGTAGTTTACCACTTCCTTTATACCCCTTGCCAACGGTACTTTCTAACTTCAGCTAATATTTTGTAAGTAAGCAATTGTTTATCATGCTGCTTTTTCCCTTTTCATTGCTGGCATCAGGGTTTTCAGCAAGCAGCCTTCTGTAGTAGCGATTTGCAGATGTTTGAACATCATAACAAGCAACGACCTTCTTCCCAAGAGTATTAGTCCCAGTTAGACGAGGAAGAAAGTACAAAATAAGTAGAAGTTCTGGATGGTTTATATATAGAAGATTAGGTAATATAAATTCTAGAAACATAATTCACCATTTTATTATGTACAAGAATATATTCTACTTTACATTTTTAATGTTCTATTGCAAAATAGCAGTCTACTGGTCTCATCATTTTCAAGTGATGAGATGTAAACTCATAATTCAGGAATCAAAACTCTGGTTGCACCTTTGGGTTCCTAGAAAAGAAGTCATGTAGCATTGAAGTTGGAAGAAGGTTAGCACAAATAAAAATCCCCAAATCAAATAAGAAACTTTATGTGTCACTGTTCTGACACGAATCTGCCTCAATTAAGAAATAAATCTCTGCAAATGAATAGTAACTTAAGTATTATTTTTCATCATTTCTGCATATTTAGTCCTGACATTAATAGGAATCTATTTCCCTCAAAGTTGTCATATTACATCATCAAATAAAAGACTATATCTCATTGTACACAAAATGTTCCGCCCTTCATGCAAAGCCTCCTTAGCTTCAAAATTGAAAACAAATTGAAGTAAACTTATCCTATGAATTCAAATGCTTTTATTATCAATGTGCTTTTTATATTTTGAAACATGGTTATCAGTTGAGTTCTTAGTCAAGAAATAAAAAATTAATCCTTAAAAATACTTAATTAGACTATCACAGGAATCAGCACCTCTAAGTAGGTATCTTTCACATGTCTAAGAGATGGGTTATAATATAAAAAATAGACCAGGTATAATGCTAGCAAAATCACCTTTCTAGTAAATTTAAATTTATCATGAGGAAAAGTATTAAATTTATCATGAGGAAAAGTATTAGCAAGTTTAGAAAAACAAACAAGTAGCAAAGGAGATAACAGTTCAAAAACAACCACACAGTGAGATCTTTGTCTTCCCATCACCTTGTAGAGCCCTTTCCTCCCAGCCTTCCTTCACTCTGAGGCTATAAGGAAAGACTGCCAACAAAACCTGCTAGTGAGCAGAAGCCCCATCTCAAATGAAAACCTTATAAAGTGACCGTATTGCACTTTGTTCTATATTCATAACAGCTGTTTTGATAACGTGGCAAAATCTTGAGTTCTGGCACCGATACTGTGGAATGTCTACCACCTGAGGTGGAAGTTGTGATAGCTTGTTTAAATGCGTCCTCAGGTTCCGTGAACTAGAAAAGGAAGAGATGAAAGACAAAGCAGACAATCTATTTTCTAGATCCAGGATGATGATTTAACAAATACTCCCAGTGGGCCAAGATTGAAATATGACAACAGTGTTAACTTTGGTAACATGAAGTTAGTCACATTCAAGTGCTACCTGCTTTGCTTCTTCATAGTCAAAGTATACATGTCTCCACAGTCTTAATATTTTGTTATTTCTTAATACACATTCTTTTAACAGGTAGAGTCTCTCCAGGATAGTTATTCAATGAATAATCATTGGAAAAAATGTGTTTTATCAGAACATTATTATATTTCCAATTCTAATAATGAACTGCCAGATATTTCAGGGTGGGTATGAGTAAATTTGTTTCCACCTGAATGTATTTTTCTTACCCTAAATAGAAAGGGAAGAAAACCATAATGAAAGCCTATAAATTTGGGTAAAAAGAGGAAGCAAAAGCAACAATAGTACCAGATGCTTCCTAGTTTAGGACAACAATCTTCAAAGGGAATATAAACTATGTAATTTATCTTTCACTTCTCTTTACATAATATATATCTGTTTATCAACTTCCTCATGGCTGTCTTTACTTCCTTGTTTCGCAATGTGTAGATGATTGGATTAAGCAAAGGGAATATCACGGTGTGAAACACAGATATCACTTTATCTAGAGAAAAAGAGTCAAACGGGCGAGCATAAATGTAGATGGATGGCCCAAACATTAGCACCACTATGGTGATGTGGGAGTAGCAGGTGGATGTGGCCTTCTTGGTACTCTCACCTAAGCCTGAATGTTTCTTGAGCATGACTAGGAGGAAAGCATAGGACATTAACAGAGCAATGAAACACACCACAGAGATCAGGCCGCTGCTGAAGATCATCACTAACTCCTCTAGGAATGTGTTCGCACAAGCAATCCGAACAACTTGTGTGATGTCACAGAAGTAACTGTCTAATTCATTAGGTCCACAGAAAGGCAGTGGAACAATGAGAGCCACCTGTATTATGGAATGAATGAAGCCCCCTACCCAGGAGAGAGCCACCAGGACACAGCAGAGACGTCGATTCATGATGGTAGCATAGTGGAGGGGGCGGCAGATAGCAGCATAGCGGTCAAATGCCATCACTGTGAGCAGGAACATCTCTGAGGCCCCAACGAAGTGCAAAAAGAAGAGCTGTGCAATGCACCCACCGAAGGAAATCGTCTTTCTTTCCACAAAGAAGTCCACAAGCATTTTGGGGGCTGTAATGGAGGAGTACCAAATATCAAGAAAGGCCAGGTTAGCCAACAGGAAATACATGGGAGAAGTGAGATGGGCATCAAGCCTGATGGTACAAATGATAAGGATATTCCCTGGCAGAATGACCAGATAGAAGGATAGAAATATAACAAATAGGACTAGTTGCACCTCCCGAGTCTGTGATAGGCCAGTGAGGATAAATTCTGTCACCCTTGTATAATTTCCAGGTTCCATTTCTTCAATTAAAATTTTTCATAAAAAGGCTACAAGAAAGAAATTTCAATTATTCCTAATAAAACTTAAGAATTATATCACTGCTTTCAAAATTGCCATATGTTCTCTGTCATTAAGAGACTGCTCTATGATACATTTGGTTTCCCCATTTTACACTTGGAAATCCACTTAAGAAATGACCACATCAGTTAAAAAGACTGACACCATATAAAGTGGGTCACATATCTGCAAGCCGTATATCAGCTTGTTAATACTATAAGATCCTATTTTTTTATGAAACTCAGTACCAATTTTTCCTCCAAATGTCTGACTTAATAAACACTGTGGGCAGCTCTCTGTGTTAGTCAGAATTTAGACTGGTGAGGGGAAATGCAGCCTAGTGGGAAATCTTGCCCACTAGGAAGCTTAAAAAAATCATATGTACTGATTTGCCAGTACTTTACTCTTGTTTTATAATAATTTTCCAGGACTTCATGTGTTGTGAATAATCAAATCTTATACTTTAATCCTAGGTAATGGGTAAATAGCCACAGTACAGTAATACAGATTGTCTATCAAAAATCTGTGACCAAACCTGTAATTTCCATCATACCACTGTTTCAGGAAGGTAAGGAAAAGGTAGTTATCGGCAAATGAATATTCTTCTCACAAAAATATATTGTATTATACTGATCATCTCTGCTATTTCAAAGAGAAACCAAGAATAAGATTACTTTTACAATTTTGTTTAAGGTGCAGTATTGAACTTGACATTACTAGAAAGAAGGAAACTTACCACATAAAAATGAAATAATCATTTACATTGCCTATGTTATTCTTCTTTTTGGTAATATACAAAACTACTACTCTAAATATTTCTTGTAACCAAAGTTCAATACTAGGAATTTGGTTTTGTACTTCTGATATCGCATCTTGTAACACTGCTTCTCATCAGTGTTCCTTACAGAAAACACAAAAGTTAAAGTTTCATGAATGTAAACAGATGAGACAGGTATTTATGGATGCTACATATGCTATCAATTAAAAAAATTCAATATTCATCCCTAGAAACTTACTGACTCAGGTTTTACCTAATTTTAACATACATATGACTTTCCTATGTTGTAAATTACTATGCTACAGAAGCACTGTATTATGGAGAAAAGATGGCTTAATACAAAGAGATACACCAAGAAAAGACCAATGTTTTCCGGGAATCTCACAGCAAGACTAGAGGCAGAAAACCGAAAACAATCATAAAGGCCCATAGTATGAGACAAGTTAGCAAAGCAGTATCTCCATGTTCATAAATTTCCCAGTGTAGGAGCAGGTACCTTAAGTAATCACACTTAGTAGGACAAGAAAATTTAAAATTCAATTTAGAAACATTTTAATAAAAAAAAATAATGCCACCAGTATCCAAGTTTCAGCTTTCTTAAAAACCTGGTTATCTGGAAGATGTATTTCCAGAAAATAATGATTTCACAACTTACCTGAAGGAGAAAGCCTGTAGCTTCATAGTGGCAACAACCCAACACACATATAATTGTAAACTCACAGGATTCACTGGTGAGTGAACTATGAGTTTCTAACAATCAAGAACATCTTACTGAGCATCTGGACTGTTATGACGACTACGTTCACTTGGATTTTTGCTACTATGCAAACACATGGAAATGGTTAGGTTATTTGTTCTAAGTCAAATAATTATTTTCTTATTATTGAAAGGCGGTAAACATTTCAAAGCAGTAAACAGTACTATTAGGCCCTAAACTTTTTTTGTTGTTGTTTCATGAGCAACAGCAATATTCTGATTTCTGTCAGTCACCTCTTTCTTCTCTATCCTATTCTGCATGAAAACTATCAAAAAGGAAGTGGAAAATAGCACTAATCTAGAAAGAAAGAATTTAGTTCAGTGTATATTGATACCTTGAATGACAAGCAGCATACTTCAGGTATTATAAACAGAAGATTACTTAATCAGAAGAGTGTCAAGGAGATTTCTTTTTGCATTTCAATGTTCAAAATAAAATATAAAATTAGAAACTAATGATACCTTGCTTTGAGAACAAAAACTAATCTCATTTATTGCTTAAGGAAGAAATGCAGAGCATTCTTACCTCCTCTACTACTCACATTCATCAAGTTGAAAAGAGCCATTTTACAGTGGCATTTCAGTCCAAGTAATGTAGCTCATAGCAAAAATATTTGGTATTAATAGCTCCCAATATATTTTAGTATAAAATCCAGGGACTTGCTTAATGAGATTTACAATTCAGAAATATCAACCTGGTTACATGAATAAAATTTGAGTAAGACAAGAATGTAAAAATATTACAGAATTTAAGCTAAAGATGTAGCAGTAGATATTTAGACAAATGAATATTTTGTTTAGGAAATATTTAGGAAACACAAATGGTAGATTATTAATAATGGATTATTTGTCATTATTTTCATACCTCCAAAGGCAGCTGGAATTTGAGCTCTATATGGCAACTTCAAAAGAAAACTGCATACCTTCTAAGTCTAAAATGAGATTTATCAAGTGCCATTCCTGGTCCCTAGTAAAATGTGACAGAGCCTACCATAGAGATTTAACTATAGCCTATTACATTCTAAGAAATACGGGGCATTGTGCTAGTGCAAAGCAGAGAAATGAATTATATCCATGAAAAATTCTTGGGAGAATACACCATCCACAGAGACTGAGTTAGAGCAGTTCTTTCCAAGGCTGCGGTTCAGAAGGGGTATCTATTCAAAATAGTACTTACTCTAAACCAGCTACATAGGGTAGCCAAGGAGGTTTTGATTCATCTTTGTCAGGTACTTCTCCCAAGTTTCTAGATTACGTCTGCTCCTCTTCTAACAAGACCTGGAGAGTTCCCAATTTTTACTTAATCTGCAGGGATGCAGTATCTAGAGGATGACTATGAATGCCAGAGCGTACTGGAGCCACTCCCCTAGGTGAGGGAACTGTGGCCCTTCCTCAAGGGAACCAGCACACTGGGGAAAAGAAGCACATGTGCAGAAATCCCTCCCTAAAAATTCATCCACATATCTAGCCAATCTCTTAATAACCTGTGGAGTATACTTACCCCCATTTGACCATTCTAAGAAAGCTGTCACACAGATCCTGAAGTGGCAAAAGATGAACTGTTTCAAGAAATACTGGGTTATACTCCTACAGCAGGCTTATATTTAAATTAGCTGTTGTATATTTAAATATACAACAGCCTTGGAAAGAACTGCTCTAACTCAGTCTCTGTGGATGGTGTATTCTCCCAAGAATTTTCCATGGATATAATTCATATATAAATATATTTAAATCTACAGCTATTGTGCATTATCTTTCCTTAAACAAATATGTGAATGAATAAACCAGTGTCTCCCAGAGTGAAAGTCACTCACCCTAGCCATTCCTGCTCACAACAAAATGCATAACTGGAAGAAATTATTTTAGTATTTACTTCAGTGGCATTAGGAGGAAACATTAAGCTAAAACTAGGGGACTAGGAAAATGGGGGGAAAAGTTACATTGATTGATTAGGGAAAGGAAGCTACACAAGAAAAAGATTGTATTTCTTCTATGTGTAATAATACAGAGTTGTGGGCTACATAGATACCATCAGATAGGTTAAAACACTATAAAATAAAAAAGAAAACATCTACAAATAGAGTTCTTCAATGATGTTTTATTGAAAACCTTCCCTCATGGAAAAAAGGTAAGTTAGGCTTTCAAACCTGCTGATTATGGGGAAAACAGCACAGGATTTTCAATATGTAAGCTGCTGGGAAGAACACAGACAACACTCAGGACATGCAGTGAGATTGGGGGCGGATATAGATGAGTGCAGGAGTGACGTACTGAGCTTTTAGAAAATACAGAGATGTGTTATTTCCAGAAACTATCCTACCTCCAGCAAGGTCCATTCCAGACAGCACAATGCAAAAACAGATACATTTTTAAAAGTGTGATAAGAAACCACATAAACAAAGTAATTGCCTGAACACTTCTATTGTTTCTTTACAACCTCTATAAATGTTGTACGTAACACACACATATCTATATTATACTTTGTAAAAGTCGTTTCCAGAGTATTGTTAAATAACTAGATTTAAGAAGTATGGGGTGTTGTGCAAGGAATACCGACCCCAGCTTGAAAGGCAGCTGGGAAGAGCACCGGTCTATAGCTGAGGGACTTGTACAGACAGTGCGGCTCAGTCTCCGAGTCTCCGAGAGTGTTACTCAAACTTCTACAGTTTCTTCCTAATAAGATAGAGTATTTAAACTAGAACTGGATGGGAAAGTCTATGTCTAAAATTCTATAAATAATAAAAGTAGATTGAGAGTAAAATTCAGAAAGGTAAACTGAGAATTATGTGAGTGAGCATGCAGAAAAATTGTTTCATTTGGCACCACAGATATACACAACATGTAAAAGAAATAATTTGAGTTTATTTTTCTATTCTCAAATTATCAAGCTCACCTATTTTATTGTGTGAGATAGCAACAAAGGGATCCTCATTATACAGTTAGGTATGTGGAGACCCAGGACTTTGAATCTCATAAGTAAATTAGTAGCAAGAAATATCAAGAGGCATAATTATCTTGATTTCCCATACATAGATAACACCAGAATCAGGGAAGGGCTCTCAACAAGAGAAGTTTTGAGGATCACTTGCTGTTTGAATAACAAATATGGGACATTAGTGCCTGGGTTCTAACTATAGCTGAATTACTTCCTACATGTGTAAACTTGAGTAACTGACCTCTCTCTGACCTGTGCCCCATCAGAGCAACTGGATAATAATACCATCTACTTTATAAGTTTTTTATAAAGACTAATAAGTGAATGCACATAAAGCTTAGAAAAACACCTAGCACACAAACCATATGTAATAAATTATTACCACTATCATCATCTCCACTTTTAAAGTGCAAGCTCTATAGGAAAACTATCACAACATATGACTTCCAAAATATTATCTTTTAATACCTGTTTATAATTCTCTGTCTCCAACTATTATCCTTGTGTACAACAAACAAAGAACATAAAATCTGTGAGGATGTTCACCATATATATATACATAGGTGTGTGTGTGTATGTGTGTGTTCTGATACAGCCTTCTATTTCAAGACAACATAATCTAGTAAAAGAACATACAATAAGAAGTTACAATAAAACATAGCAGTGATTGGCTGCAGTGGCTCACACCTGTAATTCCAGCACTCTGGGAGGCTAAAACAGGAGGCTCACAAAGTCAAACCCAGTCTGGGCAACTTAATGAAACACTGTCTCATTTTTAAAAAATAAAACAAAAAATAAATAAGTAAATAAATAAATAAATAAGCTATGCCAAAGCAGGGAGATAGACCTTTTATAGATGGGAAGGAGATTGGGATAGAAGAAGGGAGGGGAGGAGAAAGAGAAATTAAAAGGACTCAGATGCAGCACGTGTCATACCAGCTCCTCAGGATGAATGTATTCATAATGTATCACACAGGTACTAATAAAAGAAAACAAAAAAGTCTAAAAAAGTTTGGAGAGAAGAGAACATCTGACTT